TGTAAATAGTCATTATATTTTAATTATTTAGGAAATAATGACAAGAAAAAGTTTGTACCTATTCAGTACAAAACGCTACTATCGTAGACCAATCAATAAATAGGTTGTTGCCGATTTTCTTTCAACACTTATAGATTGTTTTCGAAAGAGAAATTCATAAAATAAAACATAGAATATTTAAAATACAAGAAAAATTTCAAGTTTTTTTGGAAGTTTCTAGATATTTTTTCGAATATTTTCGATTTGTGGTTAGTTGAATTCTCAGACACGAAGGACTGATCGTATATTTATTCCTAAGATTAGAATCGAAAATTGGTATATTAATGTCATTTAATAAAAAACCTACTCGATAGTTCTTATAGGGAACCTTACAATTAATAGTTTCTCGCTTATGGTGTATATTTCGCATATTTATATTCCTATACAATACAATTATTCGGTGTACTTAATGTATTCCTAAATGTATCAAATGCATCAAAATTATATTTAACAATAGAGTTCGCAACTCGTTTGTGATAAGCAAAACATTTTTTAGCATTGAACTACATGAGGATTTAATTATTACATTTAAAAAATTGGAATATGTCAGTTTTATCTATTTTTCCTCATTATGTCGCATTTGTTAGAATATTCTGACAGTTGGCATATAACCATTAATAAAAGCTTCTGTTACAGATTTATCGCTTTAAAAGTCTTTCTTTCTTCTCATTGAGCTACTGTATTTTATGAAATTAATAACATTTATAACAGAGATGGTAATATCTAAAGATATATGTAGTCTTGTAAAGATTTAATACGTTTCTAATTATTTTGTCGCGTAATTTCTTAAATTTCACCATTTTAATGGCGGAAAAGTACTTTCATTTGTTACTTTTTAAGTAAATTAAAAATTCTCAATCAACATATAGATTATGTAAACTACATAAAACATGGATCTGTGTTTAACGCCATTCGTTGTTTTCTGCTTGAATTTTCCTATTTAACGATTTATAAAGATTAAAATTTTATTAATATAGCCTATATATATATATGCAAATTATATAAAAGTAATGGAATTTTTTCATCATCATTTCTTCAAATCAGTTAACACTAGCAAGCATTAAAATTAATGGGGAAAAGTTAGCAAAGAAGAAATATATAATCATTCGAAACGTATAAGCTAAGTGTGAAAACGGTGTTTAAAATAATATCAAATTCTATTGTCAGATAAGTCTGTATGTTTATCCACATCACATACGAAAGCAGCAATAGTTATCATTCGTTTTCATTAGTTAAATGAACCGTTAACGATATTTGTATGCTTATATATATATAGGCTTGTATGTGTATTCATTACTCGAGCGCATGCTCTGAAAGATAAATTTCTGAAACGAGTTAAACTTGTTCTTAAATTTAATTCCTTTTGACCATTCGTTTTTTGAATTTTAACTCGCTTATGCTTATGAAGAGCTCTAACTCGAAAATTATTTATATAATTTGATTTCTAATTATCTCTATGGTTGAAATTTGATCAACATTCTTTCTATTTTTAATCATTTAAAAAATATTAATTTTATTTTAAATTTAATTTTCTTATAATATTTTAACAATTCTTAAATGCGTATAGTAATAAACATGAATACAACGAATCGACTACTGAGGGAGATAAATCAAGAAATATATTGTCTGATGTATTTAGTGAATACAGAATAAAGAATAGTTGTCACATTCACAAATAAAATAAATATTATTATTTTTATTAATAATATGTATTAAAAAAAACCTAATTAATTTTCTCTACGTGTTTACTTTCCTTCTCCGAATATAACAGATGAAAAGAATATTATAAAACAATTATAAATCTTTTCAAAAATACAGATATTGCATTCATTTATAACATGATTTAAATCGATATGTGACTATAGAAAATATTACTAATAAAAATTTTTTTTACAGTGACAGGTAATAATAATAATTAAATTGATTATAAAGTGTACCAATACATATATTTATTTTATTATTTTATTTAATTTAATGAAAAAAATATATATATACTATAAGGTTTTAACTTTTATATCGTTAATATCGAAATAGTGTTCGTTTTGCTATGTCGTAATATTACCTATAAACTGAATCAAAGAAAAAAAAAAAGTAGAAATGTCATTGCTAAAGTGGCACGATTTTGTTATTTTTGGTTTTAGAACTAAATTTTTAAACCCATTTCATCTATTATATTTCAGATTTATATTTCTATTAAAATAAAATTTTTTACTTAAAGATTTTAATTTATAAAAAATAGATTTTAAAATACCTTTTAGGTATATCAATGTGTAGTAAAATTAAGATTATAGTTAAAAATTATTTTGAATTAAAAATAAATAAATAAACCTTTATTTATTTATGAAAATATCAGTTCTTTTGCTTTGATCAGTTTATAAATAGATATGGGTTAATTTAAACAAAAGCATTTTATATTATCCAATGCCGTAATTATATTCTTAAGCATTTCATATAAACATACAACATAGATTCAAAATATACTTACGAATAAAGATATTTGTTGATGAAAAGAAATATTAATAAATTATTATAAAATAAAAATATAGCATATAAATACAAGACTATTGTGTTATATTGTTATATATCGTATTATATATATTTATAGTATAGATTATTTATTAAAGAATTTTAGATTTATCTAGACAATAATTTTGATAAGTAAATCAGATACATAGTTAATGCATCATCCGATTTTCTTATCAAAGTATATATAAAGGATGCTCCATAAGAACAGTGTTTTTGAATCTTATGTAATTTAAATAATTTTAACTATTCTATACATATTTATATAATGCAGTAAATTTATTAAAAATCTCTATGTATTAGATTGATTGCAAGTGTTTTTACAATTTTTATTTTTATCATATCCAATTATTCAATATGTAAATCAAAAAAATATTATTACATTATTATTAAGATTTAAATTATGGACTTTATGTAAAATTATTCAAATTTACATATTATTTTGAAATATGTATATACTGAATATATTTAATTATAAAAAAACACTCTTAAAATCTTATTTTATTTAGTTGCACACGAGCGATTTTTTTTAAATTAATGCAGTAAAATCCAATTTTACAGTTTAGAAATGATTCGTTTTATGGAAAATTAACGAGAATAATAAAGTAGTAAGTGATGTAAATACCTTGAAAATAAACGTTTGAGTTCATAATAATGTATATTATGAAAATATATTATAGACTGCGTACTAAGTACTAAAACCTTCACTTTATTAACATATGTATTATGTAAATTATTTGTTTATTTATGTATATTTACTAATATTTGTAACGTAGGTCTTTATAAGTCTATAAAGATTTAAATACATCTTTATATAATACAAATATATATTATTCTAAAGATTCATTATATATAACGTGTTATAAATTAACGAATAATCGTCGAATATAATGTAGAAAATTGAGATATAAAAAAAAAGTTCATAAAATTCAGTGTAGTTTTAAAATGCAAAGTTAAGAAATATTAGTTATTTTAATAATCAAAAATTTTCACGTTACAGATTTCAGTACAGAAATTTTATTAATTATGATATTGACATACTTAACAGAATCCAAACTTATTTGATTTCAATAGGATTGATTGTTCAAAAAAAAAAATGATCTAGGCCTACATTCGTTAATTAAATGCCAGTCTTAAAAAATCGTCATTTTTATAATAATTATTTAAATTCCTCAATAAAATTATTGGACGAATTATCAATAATATAATCGTTATCGCTTTTGTGTTACGTCATTGATCAGAATTCGTAAAATCCCTTCTGGACTTAACGACCACACCCTTTAGTCCAAAATTCGGGTCAAATAATTTTAACCTCTTTTATAGAATATGCCACATCAATACGACTTGCCTTCAAATTTGGAGTTGGTCCTATTTTTTTTTTTTTTTTTTTTTTTTTTTTCCAAACCGGCATTCATAGTATTCGCCTAGAGAATTTCGATACACTCCTATGTCGAAGAAATTAAGAACCGGCGTGTAGAGTACGTTTGACCTCGATACAAAAATTTTCCTTTGGGCTGTTATGAACAAATGTACATTATTGGTTGGCGCAGACACCTGTTCGAATTGACATTAGGACCTACGCCCATAAGGGGCTACTCCCATTATGACATCACAAGTGATTTTTTTGGTAGACTCGCCAGCGGTTTAGTATAAATACTGTGATAACTGATGTATTTCACTAAATCTTGGAGAACTAACAAGATGAAAACAGTAAGTGGTCTTATGTTATAACAATATTTAAAGCAGTATTCTCTCTACTATCTACAATATAGAAAATATTAACTCTAAAATTATAAAGTTTTTACTAATACTTTATAACTTTAAAGGCTAGCAAAATGTCTTTAAATGGCATATTCAAAAATCTATACTGTATAGTAAATTTTGGAACTGTATGATTTTTAAGGAATGACATACAAAAATATTAATGTATATATTATTCAAGAACTGTATTCAAAAATGTATTTATTAGAATCAAAATTTTTGAAAATTATTTAAGAATTTATTTTTATTAGGAAACATTTGTTAACGCTTTAATATTTTATTATTTAGATTTTTGTAAATTAAAGCGAATATTTATTTGGAATTTCGAAAGAGATCGGTCAAATTTTTGAGAATTTACACTAAAATATTTAATAACTTCAGTAGATGTTGAGGAGTATTATAGATAAAATTGTGTATTTATTTGGATTTATTAGCATTGAAAATTTTTTTGAGTTTTCTAAATCTGTTACTTTGGAATTTAGAAATGTAATTCTGGAATATGTATTTTACATTATGACAAAATTTATTTGACTTTTAGATTATATAAATTCATTTCAGTATCCTAAAATTAATTTAGACATTTAAAAGTAATTTCTTTTAAAGAAAATATATTTACTCTTTGTTTTAGGAGGAATTTAGAATCATTTAACTCAAAATGAATTTTTGGCATTTTTCAGATAATCTTTGGAGTTATCCTATTGTTTGCCGCCGTAGCAGTGGCCGAAGATGAGAAGGACGAGATGACAGAGGTTTCCGAATCCGCATACCGACCCGTATATTACGGACCATCTTACGGAGGTGCCCGTTACGGTAGCGGTTATGGCGATTACGGAAGTTACGGACGTGGCCACGGAGCTTACGGCTACGGCAAGTATGGAGATCACGGACGTTACGGAGATCGCGGATACGGCGCCTACGGCGGACACAATTATGGTTTATACAGAGATCACGATCGTTACGGAGGTCAAGGAGGTGCATACGGTCGTTACAGAAATGTCGATGCCTACAATCGCAATAAGGGCGCCGGTTACGAAAAAGCCTACGCTTTCGACAAACAGGCTGCTTATAGAGATCATGGAGCCGACCGTGGTCATTACGGTGGTTATTACGGAGATCACGGAAAATACGGCAACTACGGCCGAGGCGCATACGGCAGTCATGGTTACGATCGTCACGCAGCACGCGATAGATACGGTGCTCACGGATACGGCAGACACGGTTACGATGGTGGCGATTATGCTGGTCATGGTAAAGCTTTTACTACCATGTACTTCAACACCCCAGGCGGACACTATTAATAAAACGTTATTAAGGTTGGTAGATCGTAGTATTTATATATGAAAATTAACTCGGGGGTGCTTACCCACCCTAAATCTTAAAGGCTGATTATAGAAGCGAAGTTTTAGCCTAGCCATGGCTTAAATCATCCTATGTGCCACCAAATTTTCACCATTGTACAAATAGTTAACGGTTTTTAATTATTGTTGGCCATGTCGAAAAGCCATGACTCAAACTGGGATACAGGCAAGGCTAAACTTCCTTCTGTAACCGGCCTTAAATCTTGCATATCTGTGGAAAATTTTGGTACAGAATGTAATATGAGAATGCAATAATTCTACTACACATAGAAACTGTATTTTCTACATTTTCTATGGGTTCCAAATGTTGTAATTTCCATTAATCCATTCATGTTACAACGAATACGATTTGTACTCAAATTTTTTCACATGAGTGTAATAACGAATATAATTATTTCATTTCTTTTTTTTTTAACTTTTATTAATATAATTTGCTAAATTATTGTGTGTTTAAGACTATTTTTATTTCGATTCAGATTTCGATGATGTCAGACAACTCAAACGGAGAGGAAAGCTTCCCTATCCCATCTGCTACTTGATTGTCATACCCTTGTGAATAGACTCATCACCGGGATCCGTTCCGATAAAAACAAATTTGTATACGAACATCAAATTTTATAATTTATTTATTTATTTAAAAAAATATTAAGTAAATAAAAAACTGTATTTAATATATTTTCGTAGAAATTATTTGTTTAAGATTTAATCAATACTTTAATTCTAACTTATAGAATTTTGCTTTTTGCATTTTTTCTTCCTGGAAAAAAAATGTGGATAAAATATATATAAATACTACATATTTTTTCTCAGTTGACACCAATAACATTTAGATAAATATTTCGGTACAGAGCGAATATTATTTTTATTTATAATCTAGATTTAAGATCTATTACTAAAGTGTAAATAGGCGTTGGTTTCTAAGTCGATTAAAATCGATTCGGGTCAAATTCACTATCTTTTAACACACAATGATAATTTTTGATTTAGTTCATTAGTTTGCCCGATCTGAAATTATAAATTCTTTAAATTAAGTTTTGTAATTTGTGAATAGATCCTCTATATTAAAAAAAAAAACTTTAATTTACAAATTAATTAAACATACTTTAAGAAACAATGATTTAAAATAAAAGCGCATTTGGTGTTTGATGTATTACAACTGTTGAAAGTCAAAAGAAGAAACTCATTATCATATTATTCAATAAATGACGCTAATGATTGAAAATGTGTTGTTTGTCATCGGTTAGGAAGAAAAAAAAAAGCGAGAGAACAGGCTTCAATAAGAGAAATGAGTGCCTAAAAAGCAAGTTTTTATTGCTCTACATTTTTTATGTACTGTCTCGTTTAATAATGATGGTTCGGTTAAAATATATATATATAGGCCTTATAAATATAGTAAAATTCAATACAGAGTAATCAGAATTAATATGTGAAGCACTAAAGAAAATTGTCCGTATTATTTCGTGAAAAGTAACTGATTTAGAAACTTTAGAGCAGGGGTCGCAAACTTTTTTAACCGTCGACACCCAACCACTTTCCAAAGCCTCACATTGACCCCCACCGTAAAGTTTTATTACAAGTGTATGTGTATGAGCAAAGAAAACAACAGAAAAAAAACGTTGTGGTCTCTGTATAAGCAAAAAAAAAAAAAAAAGGTTGTAGCCGCATCAACCCCTCAATGATGTTGCATCGACCCCTGGGGGTCGATATCGACCACTTTGGCGACCCCTGCTTTAGAGTCAAATGAAGCAATATTTAGGATCCATAGTCTGTAGTTACAATTACGAAAATATTTTCACACATATTTTTAAAAAATAACTATTTAACGTTAATAGTAATATTAATCAAAAACACTATCAATATAATATAGTCGAAACACTTCATAAAATATTTCAAGGCTGTTTAAACAGTATGTAGCTAGATGAAGTGTTTCAGACGGTAAAATTATTTAGTAATTTAAACATAAACTGTCGACCTTTAATATTTTTGTATAATATATGAAAAATTGAACAAACTCGTTAATAACAATATTAATAATTACAAATTCTTAAGAAACAAATAGCTATTAATTTACTGATAGTTTTGATCTCCCTTAAGTCTAAGCTATAACTGGCGCATAATTTACGAAAAATATTTAATTAGATTTAACAAAAATTGATCTAAACAATTCTATCATTTAACACTTATATAGAGGAAATTTAAATATTTTTTTGTTTATATATACATATATATATTTAATCATAAGTAAAGTTTATCGTTTATTCTGAACAGCCTTGTTTAAAACAAAATTAAATAGACGTTTGAAATCAAATTAATCGTTTGATTGTTTAGTGTAATTTTATAATACAGATGGTTCTTCAGTACGCATTGAATGAAGAACCTGGGAAAGTGAAGAACCTGGGTTCTTCACTTTCCCAGGTTCTTCACAGATGGAAAGTGAAGAACCTGGGTTCTTCACTTTCCATCTGTGAAGAACCTGGGTTCGAATATATCATCTGTTTTTAAAAAAATCGACTTACGTTAAAGTCATTAGGCAATGGTAATCAAATTCTGCACGTGGACTGGTAGTGAAAAAATAAAAAAATTCATTACATCATCAAAGCACAAGGATACATTTTTGAAAAACAGTTTAATCGCAAATGTTACAAATCAGAAATTGGTAAATAATCTGACAAAAAAAATGCAAACTGATCGATGTCGGAGATGGCTTTACAACTTACTAATATGCAACATTTGTGATGAAACTGTTCTTCAATGATGTATCCTTGTGCTGTAATGGATTTTTTTTCACAGCCATTCCACAAACAGAATTTGCTTACTATTGCACACCGACTTTAATTAAGGTACGCTGATTGTTTTTCAACAGAGAGTGTATTCGAGTAGGTCGTCGTTCCCGACCGAGCTTATTACAGATTAGGACACTGTCCGATATAGGCAAAAGTTGGTTCCAGCATGGCATTTTTATGCCGGATACACATCAAATTACTATTATTCTGCTAATACTTTCAAAATTTAAACATGATTATCGATTTAAAACGACTTTTTTTCAATTTACCAGTTAAGAAAAGATTGTTTCATTGCAAATGTAAAGAATTTCCATTTATATTTTGTCTGCTATCAGGTTTTATAACTCGATTGTTCAAAACGAAAAACTTTTGACGCTGTTAACAATTAACTACATTAAAGACATGTCAAATATTCAAAATAAACATATTTTATACATAAAAATATCTAAAATGCATTTCTATAACAATTTTGGAATGCTGAATACAAAATAACAATGAAAATAACAATGATTAGTTGCCGTTTCTAAGATAAATATAATGCAAAATGTAACTTACCACATCCTTCATATATTAAACTTACCGCATCTTTAATGTTTTTCGCTTGTACTCATCTCCTAAAGTGTGTATCTCTAATGAGCGTCGTACATTAATTACATAGTCTCCGATGCATTGATTTTTTTAAATATTTGTCGACAAAGATAAAATTGCCCCACTCAAGATTTTTTGTCCAATTGGTCAGACATAAAATTTATTTGTAAAATAACTACAGTGAAACCTGGAAGTTCGAATTTAATTCATTCCAGGAGGCCATTCGAACTGAATCGTTCGAAGTCCGAAGCAATTTTTTCCATTATATACAATAGAAAGTCAATTATTCCATTTCCATACGCTAAACAATATTCATTTCGATAAAATTAAAACAGAAAAATACACGTAATTTAAGGTAAAATAATACAATCAAATATCCTAATAATTAAGGTTAAAACACGAAGACAAAAAATAAAATACGTAAATACTCTGTTACTGTGAATGACCGATACTTGTGAATGTCGACACACACAAATGTGTGAATGTTGACATTCACCACAAACAACTGTGTGAATGTTGACATTCCCCCCATTTCGGTCATTCACAGTAACAACTCTATTAATAAAATGAAAATTGCATTAACTAGTTGCATACCGTGGACTTTGGCATCTTAAACATGGCCGCCAGATCAACCACATGCTTCGTGATAAGTAATTTTTTCATTTCAATCGTCGTTATTACAACCTTCCTCTTAGACTTCGTTGCTTTCATACATTTCTCAAATGCCACGGTTAATAATTAATGATTATATTGTGTTCAACAGAAAGTTTTTGCGTATTATTAAGCTGTAGTTACTTAACCTAGATGTGTTTTTCAATTATAACATTCAATTAAAAATTACACAATATCACAGTATTGCTAATGTGAGATTGTATTCTTTGTTTCAAAGCTCATTTTAAGCTTATTTCGTCACATTTTGTTTAAATAATACCAAGTTGAAATGTCTACAAATAAAAAGCATACTGAAAAATGTTGATACTTTGCACCGATTTTTTCTTCAGAAGTCTGTGCGGTCTCTTATATTGGATTTCTAAATGTGTTCTCTGCACATGTACTCTGAAATATCTACGGACACATCTAATCAAATCTCAGTATTGCAGCGTTCTTACTTTATCTTTTTACGAATCAAAAAATGTAGCACAACGTAGCAGTGGCGTGCCGTCATTAAAAGCGGTGGAAGCGCCGCTTCCCTTGTATTTTCTAAAAAATAAATACATATTAATTTTAATTGTATGAAAATAATCGCACAATATTTTATTATAACCGCATTATATATCTTATTACAAATTTCTATATTACACGTGAAAAAAAAAGATAAGATTGCTATTGTATATTCGAACATGTGGCGAGTGGAATCTCTGTATTNTATGATTTTATGTGCTTTAAACGTTTATCTAGTGATATTACGACTTCAATATTTGTGGCGGACAGACGTAAAGTCGAATAAAATGACTTAAACTTGATTTTTATTTTTCCATATACTTTTTTAACAAGCGACGTATAATCGGGAACGACGTAACTCGAAACCGACGTAAGTCGAGGTATGCCTGTAGTCGAATAACATTGGATTAATATATTAATAGAATTTGTAACGATACGAATTTAAACAAAAAGTATAAACTATCCCAATTCCTATGTTCCTATGTCTTATTCAAGAAATAACAAAATACAAATGAGTACTGTTATCCCTCGGAGATTGGTCTCAGGATCCTCGGTTGATAACAAAATCAGCGGATGTTCAAGACGTTTATGATCATCCTTCCGTATATTTTCATCTCTAGATTACTTATAATATCTAATATAAAGTAAATATTATGTAAATAGTCATTATATTTTAATTATTTAGGAAATAATGACAAGAAAAAGTTTGTACCTATTCAGTACAAAACGCTACTATCGTAGACCAATCAATAAATAGGTTGTTGCCGATTTTCTTTCAACACTTATAGATTGTTTTCGAAAGAGAAATTCATAAAATAAAACATAGAATATTTAAAATACAAGAAAAATTTCAAGTTTTTTTGGAAGTTTCTAGATATTTTTTCGAATATTTTCGATTTGTGGTTAGTTGAATTCTCAGACACGAAGGACTGATCGTATATTTATTCCTAAGATTAGAATCGAAAATTGGTATATTAATGTCATTTAATAAAAAACCTACTCGATAGTTCTTATAGGGAACCTTACAATTAATAGTTTCTCGCTTATGGTGTATATTTCGCATATTTATATTCC